AGAATCCAGACTGGATTCAAAGTCATGGAGATACACTGAGGATCTAGGCTTTAGCGCTGACCAACTGGAACAACACTGCGGCGTTGAGGCAAGGTCTGAAGACAGCTTATATAGTGGATCCTCTGATGATCTTTGACGAGCTGCAGCTGTGCAGGAGGCTCCCTCAGAGGATCCACGGCGGACTCTGCTGGAGAAAGATGGGAATTTCTCCAGCTCCCAACATTTACTACAAAAACACACCTGAAAATGATTGGATTACCTGTTCATCCATCAATCGGTCCATCCACTCATCCAATAAATTCCATCTTCAAAAGCTTGCCTGCCAGAGTCACAGGGGGGCTATTTCCTATCTCATGCAATCTTTAGGCAAAATATGGGGTACACCACAAAAAAATAGTACATTCTAATTAGAATGGCTAAAAACAGGCCAACTGTGTTTAGTGTGTACTGAATCTGTCTTGATGGTGTTAAAGGGAAACACCATTTTTTTTTTTACATTTGGCCCTTGATTTTACATTATTACATTATGCTCTACTCACCCATATGAGTTTTGTGTCATTTGTTCTAAAGATATTCCGTTAGGTTGTATCCAAGTAATGTCTTCCTATGGGCAACGAGTTGAAGACACAAACTGAACTGTTCATAATTTATTCTTTATGGTACGCCAGCATTCATAACATGTAGACGAATAACTGTCCACCAGACATCCGCGGTTATATTTTTTTATATTTATATCTTTTGAAAACCAAGCGGCAAGTGTATGACATAATCCGCGCGCGCCGGCTACCATTCTTTCATCCTGTCCGCTAAACTGCTGCTAGTTTTACTCACATGCCTGGAAGATGTCTAGTGCTACTACCACAGATGATCTCGCTCTCGAAATGGAATTGAACGATTCAGATTAGCTAGCAGAATGAATAGATGGGGTAGAGCGTAGCCGCCTGTGGCCCGGGCTGCCTGTTACAACTCCAGTCCGGCACATGGATGATGTCATACATGCGTCGCTTTGTTTTTAAAAGATATATTAGACTTGAACTTGTTTTTCCTCAATCTCCACGTGCCTACGTGGGTTTTCATCAGGTAATCTGGTTAACCCCACCTAAACCAAAGACCTAATTTTCCATTAATTAGCTCTTTAAAACATCTCCTGTGTGTTTTTTTTTATGTTTAAAGCAATCAAACAAACAAAAACAAAAAAATACAAATCCCTGGAAACATAACTGCTGCCCGCAGAGGCTTGTTAACATGGACCTCTGAACAAAGAATATTTTGTATTAAAAGTTATACAAGGCACTCAGAGGGCCGGATCTATCAAAGGTTTGCGTGTATAAAAACGTGAGCTATTTCACTGCGCACGCTAAAAAATGTACAAACTGATCTATCAACAGCGTGCTAAAAGGATTTGGTCTTTGAAACGTGCTAAATAGCGCCTCTTATCCATTTAGTACTTTTTCTGCAATAAATATGCAATATGGGGCGTTTACACGCAAAAGTGCGTCTTGTGGGAGGAGAACATGTAAATATATTAATTTAGCACTCGCAAAGTGATTTATCAAACCTGAAAGCAATTCTGCTAACGGTATCTGACTCTATATTTAACACGTTTCAAAAGAAGGTGCAAATGGTCTGTATGCGTAATTGCGCACACATGGCAGCGGTTATTGTCGCAAGAAGGAGACATCGAAATGAAGCAAGGAGACGCAGAGAACGCATTTTTTCACTCCGTGTGAATATTTTGGGAATGAACGAGGAAACGATCATCAAAACATATCGTTTATCCAGCATTGCCATTTTGGAGCTGTTGGGGGAACTCCGAATGGATTTGGAGCCAGCCACAAGGAGGACCCACGCAATACCAGATATCACTAAACTCCTTGCAACATTGCACTTTTTTGCACCTGGGTCATTCCAGCGTACGGTTGCAGCGAGAGCTGGGATCTCCCAATCTCGTTTTTCAGAAGTGCTGTCCGACGTTCTAAATGCCATGTCGCCCTGACGCCCTACCGGAGAACCCCGACCCCCCCCCCCCCCCCCCCCCCCCCCCCAACGCCTGTGGAGCAACATGCCAATGCTGCGGGGATGCGTACGCGCAGTAATCTTATCCACAGTCACTTCTTGTGAGCCATTTGGTATGTGCATTTTTCTACAGGCCAATACAAAACACCTGTTTTTTTTTTTTACTGCAGTGAAGTAGAAATTCAGCCACATACCACCTTAGGGAATAAAGGTTGCCAAAGTTTATATATATATATATATTTCTTTTTTTGGAGGGGGTGGGGGGGTCACTGTGAGATTTAAATTTCTTAATGCACTAGTTTGCACAAACTACAAACTACTTTGCAGCAAACCACAAAACGCGCAAAACCATCATTTAAATTGGGCGTCTCCAACAGTTTTGCACCTGCCACCAGTTACGCAATCACTCTTGTTAAATCTCCCGCAAACCATGGTTCAGCCCCTCGCGCAAAATTCCAGTTTGCGAGCGCAAATTACTGCACGCAAAATTGGATCTTGATAATTCCGGCCCAGAGGGTGCTGTTTTATCACCAAAATGACTTGACAGATTAAGACCTCCATGCCAGTACTGATCCTGGCTCTTGAGATATGAACATTTAAGGTTTTGCCCCTATAGGATTTCTACCTCAGTTTATTGTAAATGAATTCTTCATTCAAGCAGGTCTTCATTTTCTTCACACCTTGTAAGAAGTCCATAACAATTAAGAGACTATTGTTTAAGAAAGATTTAAATTACTTTCTTTAAATTCAGAATCTGATATCAACCATACCCAAATCCAGATTAGGATGCCATGGAAAGGACCCTTGAGAAAGCAGTTTTAGACAAAACCTGGTATATACTGCTTCCTTGTATTACACCACAGAAAAGCCTAAATAATCAGATTGTATTTCACAGATTCTATTTTCATTAATAAATTCTTTGAAAGCATGTTATAGATGTATATTTGAAGTGTAACAAAGTTTGTTATAAACGACTGCTGAGATGTAGGCTACTTTGAAAGTAACTGACAAACAGGTCAGATATTCCTCTCGTGGAGATTTTAACATTTCAGTTCAAGTTGTACCCCACTTTTTCTGACATTTTCAGGTATATACCCTTGCTGCTTATGAGAGATTTTTCAACTCCTTAAAAAAAAAATCCAACTGATCAAAATTAAATTGACACAGTTTTTAGAATGTTTTAATTGTATTTTATTTACAATTTAAATATTTTATTGAAAATAAGAGTAATCCAGTGGTGTTTATACGTGGAGAAAATTATTGTCATAATAAAAATATAAATACCAGAAAAATATAGAAACCATAAACAGGGCAGCACTAACCTCTTACAGCATTCAACCTCCTAATATGATACAACAGATTAATGAATCTCAGTCTCAGGTTATCATTTGAACGCCAAGCAACCCAACATCCAATGACCAATCACAAAATGTTCCTTCAAGAAAATAAAATAACATCTGGTGCTTTTTCTAAGTAAAAGATTTACTGTGCCATCATGCATTATTTTGCAGATTTGAGCCTGGACACATCCTATAAAAGCAGATATTTTCTAGATATCTTTTTCTTTCATTGTTTTTTGTTGGAGGGCCTTACAGAAAAACTGTTGGGAAACTTCTGTTTAACATCGTTTTGGGCATGAGAATTCATTAACAAGGTTCAATGGTTACTTAGAATTCCTTTTCCACTATTTTAATAAAAAGTATATATATATAAATAAAACTACACACACAGACAGTTCCCACTTTATAATTATTTTTCACCCCTATACAGAAGATTATGAAAACAAATAACACCATCAGATGGAGGAAAATTATACCATTTAGATACATGCTATAAGGCTGCATGCAATGAGGTGGAAAAGGTTGGAACACCCATATCACTCTCCCCTGATAGAGTGTCAACTTTGAGAACACATTTAAACATAAAGCCTGACTAAAATTTGCAGCCACGTAAAGAATCGAGGCAAATTACTGCATATCTGGAGAAAACGTTAATGCCCAGAGGAATCATAATTGGCGCTATCTGTCCTAAATATCATCAAATATGTTTGAAGGATAGAAGATGAGGCTTTCAATCCTTACTGATGCTGTACTAACTATAAAGCAGGGTGGGGGCAAAAGAATGTGTTGTGGCTCTTTTGCCAGTAGTTATACTTGTGCATCTAATATGGTGGATGGACTAATGAAGAAGTAGGACCACCTTTAAATTCTCAATCTTACCTCAACTCAGCAGCCAGATGATTGAGACTGAGACAGAAGTTCAAACATGACAATTTCTCAAAAAACATAAGAATTGGTTTTGGAATGAACAAACAAGGTCAAACTTCATGGACTTGACCTCTACCCTGTTAACAATATCTGTGCAATGTGTCTGCTCCTGCTAGGAATCCATCTAGCAAAAATAAAATATCGCTATAGAAGATCCATGATGACAAAAGCAGGGATGAGACACAACTCGCTAAAGGACATTTAACTATCACAGTGGATGTATGTTTGTATTTGAACATATATGCATTGGATAAAAGAATTTAAACGTTCACACCTAGTCAATTCTTTTAAAAGTTTTTTTCTTAATATTGATATTAAATCTTGGATTACTAACTGTTAAAAAAATAATCTAATGCCCAATTTAATATAAGAATGTATGCCCCATAATGGTGGATCTAGAAGGAATATACTGATTCACAACAACCTATCTCTAGTTATAAAGTACTGATATTAAAAGACAATTACACTACCTTATTAACTAGAAATGATAAAATCTTTATCTCTTCATCTTTTTGAAATAAATCTCTAAGTTATTAAGTTAAAACAGAACATAATATTGAACCACACTCCCAGAGTCTAGTGGGATTTATATGTCAACATACACACCAAAGGTTAGGAGAAATCAAAAGGACAAAAAATAAACATTATCATAAAAAAAAAAAAAACATTAAACAAAACCTTGAATCATGATTATTTTTTTAACTCTGTAGAGTTAACTTTCCCACTGTAAATCCACTTTAGTGATACTAGAAGAAAAAAGGAGAGAAAGCACTTCAATTCTGTTCATACAATGAACAGCCTATGTTAACACAGGCTAACACCGGTCGCCAGCTGAAGTAGGAAATCTAAATAGTTTCTTAATTTTCTTCTCTTGCACAGCTCTCTGAACAGGCCCGGATGGTTTTTTACACCAAATCTAAATATGTTCAGACAGTGTTATAAATCTGTAAATGAAAGGGCTCCATTTATGACATTACTCTTCTCTGGCCAGGTGCCATCTCCTTGAGACAATGCAACTTCTTCTTGGAGAACAGCAAGATATGAACCACGCAACCTCTTCACTGCTTCCTGGTTACAGGAGAAGATGTCTGCCTTAAAACCTTGATACAGGTTCTGGAATTCCAGCATATGTAAACCTGTACTCAGAAAATGTTGAAAGAACAAAAAAATATAAATATAACAAATATCAAGTCCTTAATAGCTGTAGTGAAGCCAATGTCATGGTAAAACCATCCCATTGGGATCCGCCTTTCAGTAAAGTCAATGTGGCATCCCCTTTCTTCTCAGCTCCAGAGTGTGCAGCCCCTCCTGTCGGCCCAGCGCGTGCTGTGTGCCTACTTTATGAGCCATCTCGGTTGCAGTGATGTCGATCTGAGCATACTTGGTGGAGCTCTTTCCTGTTGGAAAATGTGCAGCACATGAAAAGAACAAGAAACATTAGGAAAAGTACATTGCATTGGCCTAAAGTTAATTAAATAATAGTTTTGTATAATGAACTTGAATAATTAGAAATAATAAAAATGAATAATTAAATAAGATGACAAAAACTGTGATGGGTAAGAACATAAAAGGAAAGTTGGACTGAAAATGTAGCTGTTTAGATAGCTTAATCAAAGGCCAGGAAGATGATCTTTCTCTGTCTCCAGCACCCTCCCCTGTCTGCCCGGCTTCAGATCTGTGTTTTGTCTTCTTTAGGAGCCTCTTTTTAAATGTCTTCAGAAACTGAATAATGGATCAAAAATGAATGACTGTATGCCTGACGATGATGTCAGTCGAGGACGTAGAGGATGCTTCTATATTTGAATTTCTGATAACAGGATATCTGCTGTTTGGAGTGTGTGTATATCTAGTATACTTTAAAATCAGGGGCTGTTTTGGCCATTTTTAGGCATTGTTAGGCTGACCTTTCATGGCAGCAAAGCCTCGGACACAGTGTTCCAACAATGTGTAATGTCTGGGTTTTTGTTTTTGTCTTCTTGGACAGGTACCGCCACTAAATTTCCCTTTGGGGATTAATTAAGTACATTTAATTTATTTTTGAATTAAACCAGTTTATAGAGATGGACCTGTTGCATCAAAACTCTCAATATGAATTGAAAGCGCTGCTTTTCCACACTTTTGTTCTGTCTTTTTGCTTCTCAGATTGGTCGAAATCGAGCCCATCTTCTCCCGGCCACCAATAGTCCCGGTAGGATGATCCTATTAGAGAGGGTGAAGTCACAGCTGTGATCTGTCTGCCCCATGAACCCCCTTCCAGTGGTGAAGCAGTACACCCTTCCTCCCAAGTGACAGATTAATAAGGTTGCATGCCGGGAGATAAACTGTAACGCTGCCATCAGGCATTAACCTCAGAGCTCCCACCCTTCTCGTGTTCTTGAAGGCAGGGATGATAAAAACTGAACCCATCAGTAAATTACAGCTCACTGCTACATCTCTAGTGACAAGGACTCAGATGTCTTTCAGTAGAAGTCTCAATCGTCTGGCAGTGATTTCTGCAACGCTGATGAGACTGAACTGAATTACTGATGATTTATGTAGCCACAATGACTTTTTTATACTCCCTTGATATAGCCTTGATATTGCCCTGCTGACTTTTTGTAAGTAGGCTCTTTGAAAACAGTCGGCTGAGTTTGAACAGAAAATGCTTGATTTGAAAAAGCAGCTGGATTCAGATGATGGTCAGAAATAGAACTGCTTTGTGCATGTAGTGAGTAATAAACATAAGTACCGTGCCTATAGCATTTAATTTTTTTTTAATTGCAGTTTTTTGTTCGTTAACACATAATACCTAACGTTTTTATCTACATTTTACTGCATTTTCAGCAACCTTCAACCTTTTTGATGATAACCCAAATCCTTAAAGTGTGGTGGCCTTTCTGAATTTGAAACGTTATGCTCAAAATAAGTTTAGGTTTAAAATAATTCAAAATGCATCAAACTATCTCCTTTATAATCATTCCGTTTGTGAATCTAGAAATTCATTCTGTCAATACTGTAGCTACAGCAAATTTAAATAATGGCCAATATGTTCCTATATTACTGCAAGGTTTCATAATGTTAACTAGAATATACCTTCAGCCAAATAAGCATTTTTTATCTAAAATGACTGACTGTTTGCATTCCTCTAGCTATGTTTCCATTCAACTAAACTTTTCAAAGCTTGGAAAAAACGGAATGTTATTTGCGGTGTTTCCATTTGGTTTGAGGTGAATTAACCAAGGACAGCAAATTCCTCCTACATCGTCGTCCATATTTTGTCGTCACGTATGGCTGTAATAGGCAGGAAGTTGAGGCTTCAATCTAGCCCTGGCCACAGATCAGTAATGGAGGAAAAATTTAAGGAATGTCTTACTATCAGTGAAGTTGTTCTTACGTTAACATCTGTTAGTAATGCCGATGTTGGTTGCGGTCAATGTCTACGAGGATAATAGGAAAATCCAGGAAGATGCTGACAGCAGGACCAACTGATCAGTTATGTGAGTAAAAGTTCTGACCTGATTCGAAAAAAGCATTTCATCTTCTGTTTTGCGCATCAACCCTTTTAAGCAAAAGCCAAAAACCACCTAAAGAGAGCGTAAAAACTTTTTTTTTTTGAGAAATGAAGGGAGTTTATTTAAATTTTGCAGCTTATCTGATGCGGTACGAAATGTGCATTAGAAAAACCTGATGGAAAGACACCTTCTGTGTCAGGTTTAAAGATTTTAATAAAAGTAACTCAAATCCAGCTTCAAATGAGCAGATATATATATTAGGAGAGATACTGAGAGAAGCATACCCACAGAACCAGCAGGAAGAATCCCAGCCCTATCAGAACAGAAGCCTGATCATAGTCTTGAAATTTGGTTGCCTTTAATGTTTTAGTCTCCTCTATACTCTTTTAAACCCCAAATTCAATCTTATGTCATTTTGTTTTTTGTTTTTCCCAGCAAATGTTAAGTGCTGTGCCCGAAAGATATGGAGTTCAGAAGGTTGATACCAATATGGGGGGTTTAAAAAAACGTAACATTTTCTAGATTTTGCCTCAAATTTGTGGTGTTTTTCACTTTACTGGTGCTGGTGCCCTGACTAGCTTTAACACTGCAGATGCTGTATCCAGCACGTGTTATATCCTTGGTGAGGTGGCTCCAAACCTGATTTTTCCAATCTGCCTGTGAAATCAACATATACTGTATACATTTTCTGTATTCTGCAAATTAGATTTCAATTCTACAGATAATAATTTTAAAATGAAAACAAGTGGCTGCATACAGGTTAAAGTAAAAACTAGTGTTGCACCAATACTGATACCAATATCGGGCGGGGCCCCATACTGCACTAAAATGGTGGTATCTGTATCTGTGAGTACCAACTAATAGGGCACCGATACCATTTTGAGAGCCATAAGTTTATTCATCTATTTAAAAATTTCTACTGGATTCACTTTGTATTAGTCTTTTTCCTGCTTCACAAAGGTAGGCAGCTGTTTGACAAAGCCATGATGGCAATTATTTTATATCCAAGTAGTATGCAGTTTTTCATACACACACACACACACACATCAATTTAAAATAGATGGTATCGATTAGGGCTGCAACTGACGATTATTTTAAAAATCGATGAATCGGACCATTATTTTTTCGATTAATCGATGAATCGGACAAAAACAATTTTTTATATTAACCTCTTTATTCCAAAATAAACATTTTAGACAGAACAAACAAGAACACAAGTACAGGTTGCTCATTAACTGTACTGGTGGAATATGAAAAATAAATGTTTGTGTTAAAACTACGCAAACTTACATGAGAAATGTAGCTGTACATCCACAAAATATAGGGTACTTTGTTTCATAAAGCGCAAAAAAAGACATTTTTGTTTTTAAAAGCCCCTAAGGGGTTCAAACAATAGGTCCCCCCATTCCAACAAATGAGTTTTTTTAGACTAGAAGAGTTCTGCCTTTTAAGACAGGAAAGTACAGCAGTTAAAGTTGCTACTTGAGAAAATACTGAACCATAGAGATAAAAATAGCCCTGTGATTCAAATTATAAATTGTATTTGGAATAAAAATGAGAGAACTAGGGGTGGTAAAAAAACACATCCTCCAAAGACTCCAATTTACATGGGAATGTGGCATATAATTAATTGACATATTACTGATCTTGCTGGATTTTATTCTGCTTTACTTCCATAAATTGCAGGATCTTCTTTACTTTATCTTTGCCAGAAGATTTAAACTTTAAAAGCCTTGCCCTCATAATTTGCAAGTTAATTTATTTATAAAGTAAATGTAAACGCTGCTTAAGCTAATTCAAATGAAATTAAAAGTAAAATAAGTAGCCAACCTTATCACTGTCTGTAACCTACTAACACGGTAAGGAAAGCATCAGATGAGCTACCTGAGAAACTAACGTAACGTTTCCCCCACTTTAAAACCAAACAAACATGGTGGTTCCGTGCCATGTTAATTTCTTTTGACAAACGTTGCATGTTACTTTTTTCGCTTTACAAAGCGCAGGCTATTTTAATTATTGTGATCAATTTGCGCCGTCAATCCCGGTGCATGCGCGCTTCATTTGCAGTCTGGACGCTGAGGCTCTGACTGCAGCGCTGAGAGGGACTCCTGCGGGAAAACTCGGTTGGGGTGGGGGAGGCGCCCCACGGCAGAGTAGGAACGATACATGCTTTCACGTAAGAGTCTCCAAAAGTCGCCAGTGACACCGTAAAAAGTCGCCAGATTTGTCGCTAGTCGCTTTTTTGAAAAATAGTCGCTGGAGGGGTCTGAAAAGTCGCTGAGTTGGCAACACTGCACCTGCAGCGCTGGCTCGCTCTGCCGTATTTTTTTTTTCTTCCTCTTTCAGTCAAGAGGCAGTGATGACGGCGCGGCGGATGACGCATTATTCGTGCGACACAACTAATCGATGATGAAATTCGTTGCCAACGCTTTTAAAAGTCGATTTTTATCGATTTTATCGATTCGTTCTTGCAGCCCTAGTATCGATATGTTATCGGTATTGGCCAATACTGCACAGCCAGGTATCAAGTATCGGGGCCAAAAAATGACACTAGTAACTAGTAACACTAGTAACAAAACAGCCTAATGGGAGGCATTTTGTGTATGATATGTTTTCTGATAGGCATCGACAAAAAACCCTTAGAAATAAAGCAATTAACAAATGTAACCAATTAATGTACCAATTAACAAAAGGGACTCAACTAAATTTAAGTAATGCTGCAGATTTTAAATCGTTCAGGATTAGAACTAAATAGTTTCATGAAAACTTTAACTTCCTAATGTATGAGCCCCACTACAGCCAGCATTTCAGCATGAAGGGTAGTACACAATACAATAATCAAATTCCTTCTAATGTATACAGTATCTTCATTTTGGAATTAAATACTTTTTTAACATGCTAACTTATTATTAGGATGACGAAGATGCAGCAAACCAGCAGAATTTACATTGGTGGACCGTGGGAGTGGAGTTAGCATGTTCTCCCTGACCATGCGTGGGTTCTCTCTGGGTACTCCAGCTTCCTCCCACAGTCCAAAAACATGACTGTTAGGTTAATTGGCTTCTCTAAATTCTCCTTAGGTGTAAGTGTGTGCATGAATGGTTGTTTGTCCTGTTTGTCTCTGTGTTGTCCTGCGATAGACTGGCAACCTGTCCAGGGTGTACCCCGCCTCTCGCCCGTAGACAGCTGGAGATAGGTACCAGCACCCCTCGCGATCCCACTTGGGATAAGCGTGACAGAAAATGGATGGATGGATGGAACGTGGGAGTGTTTGCCTAGTGGTTAGAGCCGTGAGCTTGTGCTCTGAGAAGGTTGCAGGTACCCGGTTCAATCCCCACAACCTCCGCTCTGGATTCCTTAGCAAAACCCTTAACCCCACTGCTGCCCAAGGGGATGCGCCGAAAGCAGAGGTGAATTTCCCCATTGTCGGACAATAAAGGGATTTACATTTACTCCGCGACCAGGCCGCTGTTACACCTGCTGCCGAATTCCAGCGAGCCTGCAACTAACGCAGACTTGTTTTTTAAGGGATATACGGTCCACTAGCCCCACCTGAGGATCCGCTACATCCTCAGTGGTAACGTGGAAATGAAAGGTTAGTGCTCAGGGTTGGTGCGTAGGGATCGTTTTGACTTGGCCCTATAGTTTTATTAAGTCCCTCAATTACCACTTTTTTGGCATGCCCTTTTCCAAAAAGGAGAATGAAAAAAGGCACCATTTGCTCTACTCAAAACCTTTTTTGTATGAAAAACTGGAGAACATTACATTAATTTTTTTTTTAACCACTTGTTAGGAATGATCACCAATAATCAAGTTATACATTTCTTATCAATTTACTCTTATAATTCCACAGAGTCTGTTCCAGCAATCTGTGTTGATGTCTATTTTAATCTGTAAATGAAGAGTTAGAATAGTTACTATTCCATTGCTGATGCTTAGAAATCAGAAACCATAGCAGTGATGCTTCAAAGACTGTCTGAAGATGAGGCTTCCTTTCTAACACAGGTCATTCCAAATATATTCTTACTATCAGCCGGCAGATGTGCGGCAGTCCCTCTGGTACTGTGGCCCGGCTCCTGCAACTCCAGCTCCATGTAATTGAGTTGTTTCTTAGATGTTGGGCTGATGGGAATATTTACGTATGTCACGCTTTCGCTCCAAGGTCTCTCAGGAAGTGGAGCCTCAGGAGGGAAAACAAACGTCGCTCCTGTAAATGCAAAAAAAATAAAAAAACATTAACCAAGTGGAATACTTCATAATTTTCTATGTTCATTGATCTTGTTTTCAAATAAAAGGAATTCAGGATATGATTTTTGTTCATAAGATATATCTGTGAAGATATAACCTTATATAACAGAAAAGCACAAAATAAAAATAATTACACAGAGAATAAAGCATCTTGCATCCATACTGCAGTTTGTTACACTCAGTACTGCAAAGGTTTTTGCACTGGCTCCTGTATTCAAAAATGTCATGTAAATGCAATGTTGTGTGTCTAGTCATTTTTTCATCACAAACTTAATCAAAAGCTAGACTTCCCTGGAGGCTGAGGGGCTCTTGAGACTTCAGCACTTAACGTCCACCTAATGTTATTTAGAGTTATTTAAATACAGACGCTTGATCCACCCTGACAACGATGTTTTCAGCCATGAAGCACAGAAGCCCCTGAAGGATCTGCAATGATATAGGAACACTGTATTCCCCAGCAGGTTATTAATTTGCTCTGGGGGCAAAATTATGAATAATTAGCAAACCCGACCAAATTATTTCCCTTTTAATTACACCGATTAGTTGGTTGTGGCTCTGTCATCTGAGCTGTTAGAAAAAATCCAATGGTTGTCTCTCTACTAACACTGAACATCATTTCTATTCAGATGAGAAAAGATTAAGGAAGATTAAAAAAAAGGAAAATGAAGGCCTAAATGAATGTGTTAAATCTCATGCAGTCAGCAGAACAAAAACCAAAATGTCCCCTCAATCCATTTTAACTGAGCAGATTTTTTCTGTCAAACTTAAAAATTATAGCGCTACATTGCCTAAAGTAAGTTGTCATTGGCATAATTTATGGTGCATGACGGATGGGTTCAAGTGGCAAGGCAGCTTTAAAAGCCTAAAGGCCAACCTGGATGAAGCAGTGCAGAGTAGAAATCATTACTTTCATCAGAAAGGCATCTTAGGACAGAGTAGTTTAACACACCAATCATGCATATTATAATTACCATATAGGGTGCTCTGACTGGTTTATGTAGCTCCATGTGTACTAAATACAATGCACTTTATGATTAAGAGACTTTTAAACCTGAATCCGCTTTCACTTCTTCAGTAGTTTAGGCTACATAAACTTGTCTGTTGGATCTGACCATATGAGCAAGCTCTCCTTCGCCACATGCAATGACCTGGTCACAGGTTTTATCACCGTTTCTTCCTGGGACCAATCTAGACTAACCACTGCAGACCTGCATGCCTCTGAAGAGCTGCAGTTTTGGTGATGCTGTAAATGACTTGTCTAACCATCACAACTTGGAACATGTGAAACTCTCTCAAACACTTGGACTTCCCAATTTGTCCTTCTTCTAAATAACATTTAAAAAAATATGTATATTAGTCATAAGTCTATTATTCCCCACCAACTAAATGGGACTGTATGAAATAGATCCTTTGTACTATTACCTTCATCTCTTTGTGGTAGAATTGCTATGCCTCGTTGGTGTAAATTAAAATTTTTGCACAGTAAATATGTTTTTTATAAGTCTGCATTGTCAACACTGTAAAAACAAAAAAACTTTAAGGAGATGGAGGGACAGTATTTGATAACTTTATGAAATAACTGAAGTAAAGTACAGCTCCTCTTGGTTTGTCCATTCATCCACCTCTTCTGCTTTATCCGGGGCCGGGGCGCGGAGACATCAGTCTGAGTAGAGATGCCCAGACTTCCCGATTCACACATTCCTTCTCCAGCTGCTCTGGAGGGACCTAAAGGCGACACCAGGCCAGCTCCAGGGAGTCCTGGTCCTTCCACAAGCCTCCTCCCAAAAGGACATGCCTGAAACACCTCCCAAGGGAAGCCAACAGGAGGCATCCAAAACAGATGCCCAAGCCACCTCAGCTGGCTCCTTGGAGGAGTAAGGGGTATCCCGGGTGAGATTAAAAAGCTATTGAACAATGCTCTGGCCGGTGTGTGTCTTATAATATTCTTCCCATGATCCTTAGGTGTTATGTTATGGATTACAGTTGTGTTCATGTTGACAATACCTTTTGTTTTATCATCTCTCATTATCAGTTGGGTATTGCCTTATAGGTTAAATTACCTTGCACATAGTCTTTTAGTTTATGTATCATTGGCTTTGACCTCTGCTATTTTTTTCTTTTCTCTTTTTAATAGCTTTTTCATCTCACAGCTCTACTCCTTTTATGTATTCTCTCGTTGCTCTTGCTCATTTCTCCCTAAGCTCCATCCCACTTAATTGCGCTCAGGTGTTCCTCCTTTCTCAACTTGATTATCTTCTCCTGTGTTGCCATACCTTTTTTGCTCCCCTTCCTGTAAATAAGGTGTTTGGCTGCCTTTCTCTTCACTGGTTTCTGCCTTTATATCTCTTACCTCCATAGTGTCTCTTTTGCCTTCAATTTCTCAATATCTAATCCTGGCTCTCTGCCACCATTTAGGCTACATTGTTTGAATCTTTTTCTTAAAGTCCCGCTATGTATCATTAAATACATTTGATCTCTTTATCACTGATGGCTGTTGGTCGGTTGGTTTATTTGTTGGTTTTTTAGCAGAATTACTTGAAAAGTTTAACATCAGCATATCACATTGTTTTGCCAGAGTTAAGCTGCATTCACACAGCAGCTTGAGAGACCCAAATCCAATTTTTTTGCCCATATGCCACCTGTATCAGATCTTATCATGACAGACTGAATAACTTTAATCCGTGTTATTTCCAATGCGACCCAGACCATTTCCCTTTGTGGTTCTGAATTAGATCAAAATCTGATCTTTCCAAATGTGACCTGTGTCTGAACGGCCAGGTTGCCTTCGTCTGACATGAGTATCATTATTACTCAACAAAGGTCCCTATTCACACCCTATAGATGGCAAGATGGCGCTCCACATGCAGCAGCCTGTTACGTCGGCTCCTTGCTTTCCTTTCCTACTTTCTCTATTTTGTATGTTTTTTTGGACTGTTTTTCTATTAGTGAATACCTTATCTGATATTCTGAAAGTATTCGCAGAGAGGAAGCCAACTTAAAACAGCGGAAAGCCTAAGGACTGGACGACATCCCCTCAAGGCTGGACCTCGCAGAGTTCCTCAGCTAAATCAACAACCAAAGCCTCAGCCTGAGGGTGGTCCTCACTCTCTGGAGTACCTCCTGTGTTGTATCGGTTCCCAAAACGCAGCACGCCAAGGAACCAACCCACTTTAGACCAGTCACCTATACCTCCCACCTGATGAAGACCATGGAGCGCCTCATTCTAGATCCCCTAAGCACCATGGTGAGACCCTGGATCCACTACAGTTTGCTTACCAACCTGACATCGGAGTGGAGGATGCCATAATCTACCTGCTGCAGCATGTGCTCACCCACCTGGAGGCCACCGGGAGCACAGTGAGAGTCCTTTTCTTTGACTTTTCCAGCACTTTCAACACCATCAGACCAGAGCTGCTCAAGGGGAAGCTGGGGGATGCTAGAGTAATCTTTGATGGTGACGAGTTTGCCTATAGGTGGGAGGTGACCATTTGGTGACCTGGTGCAGGGAGAACAACCTTTTTTTTTACAGCATTGAGCCTAGAGCTCAACGCCGTAAAAACAGTGGAGATGATTTTGGAATTCAGGAAGAACTCAAGAACACCCCTGCTATCCCCATCACCCTGTGTGACTCCCAAATTGACACTGAGGAGTCTTTACCCTCCTGGGGAACTATAATTTCGCAAGACCTAAAGTGGGAGCTGAACATCAACACACTCACCAAGAAAGCCCAGCAGAGAATGTAGTTGTTGCAATAGCTGAAAAAAATTGACCTGCCAATGACAAGGACTGCTACCCGTCCATCATTGAGTCCATCCTCACCTCCTCTATCACCATCTGGTACGCTCGTGCCCCTGCCAAGGACAAGGGTAGACTGCAGCATGTCATCTGGTCTGCAGAGAAGGTGATTGGCTGCAATCTTCCATCTCTCCAGGATATGTACGCCTCCAGGACTCTGAGGTGTGCAGGGCAGAGTGTGGCTGATCCCTCGCTCCCCAGCCACAAACTATTTCAGACACTTTCCCTCTAGCAGGAGGCTGCGGTCTATCAGGACCAACACCTCACGCCACAAGAACAGTTTCTTCCTATCTCTACCAGCCTTATCAACAAGGCCCAGAGCCCCCCGTGACACTGACACTGCCTCTCTCACTCCCCTGTTCAGAACCTAGAGGCTACACCAACATAGAATCTCCAGACCTCCTGTGTTACATTAACGCACAGTCTACTGTGTATATAGTATATAGCTATATAATTTATAATGTGTATAGTATATTGTATGTTTTTATATTGTATATAGCTATAGATTATGTATGCTCTATATATATACAGTTTGTCTGAACCATTAACACCAAGTCTAATTCCTTGTAAGTGTAAACCTACTTGGCAATGAAGTTGATTCTGATTACTTTAGGGTTTTACAATCAACCACTTTGGGATTGAGCTATGGCCATTTCTAAATAGCTTCCTCTTGGTTGTAACAGCACTAACAGGTGACTGAGAATAATTTTGTTCCACTGTCCCCCTGCCCAGTAAGTCCACAGCTGGACTTACTCAGGGGACAGCTTATCATGACAATGTGCTCTACCCTAAATCCCAGCTGTTTGAAGCAGCAGCCGAATGGCCTTTTTTTAGACCTCTGGACATAAAAGTGATTGAGAAAGCTGAATTTGATAATATACATTTAATAATGTAATGCATCATCTCTGAAAATAATGCATGTTGTGTTTTGTGGTTGTCAAGAGAAATCATGGCAATGCTGGTAGCTGTAACTCAAATGTGCTGATTCATCCTGTCTGGCCTTTAAGCTCAGAAAGCATAAAAGAGTATGTGCTGAGAAAAAAGAAGAGAGAAGCAAGTGAAGCCTTCTATTTCTGTGACTCCTAAATGGCAGCAAGCAGTGGCCATTACCAACAGCTGAGAAGCTTCAACCCCAGGGGACACTTAAGATCAGTGAGAGGCCAT